AGCGCGAGGCCCGGCTTTTACTCGGAGCTACTAATGTAAATAATGAACTTTTATCAGTAAAATATGCATTGTTTGATAACATGAATGATATCTGATACAGAGAACACGAATAAACATAAAGGTTAGTGAGTGCATTTTGTTCCGTTTAGCGTACATGACAAGTACCGCGATACCCCGAGGTTGCAGGCTACACATATATACAAAGATATATTTGCTACCAATTTTTCTTTCTGATTGCTATGGTTTTCTAGCACAAGTTCATTATAGGGGTAAAAAAAAGTTACCAAATAATTAAATGATGTAAAATATAGAGTCTGGACCAGACAATATGACAAGCAGGGGATGCAATGAGTAACCTTTTATCTCAAATTTAAGTGAAACAGTAGCAATTTTGCAAAGGTATAACTTTTTGACAAATACATAAAAAAAGGTAATGAACAAAAGGACATTCTTCACATGCTTTATCATGTAATGAAGAGAATTTCAAATAATCTGCATCCTGGAAGCATAAAAATTGAAAACAGATCCCCATAAAGTACAAAGTGCTTCCATTTTGATGCAGAAAATCTGTATGCATGTTAAGGAATGAATGCGCTATTTCATATAAAGTACCAATTAAAATTAATTTCTGTATATTACCATTTAAAAAATACCTTACACACTCGAGAACTTGACAATGTTCTCGTGTTAGCATGGGTAGCACTTGATTCGTTTCACTTAGGGATTGGGAACCCACAATCATAGGTTTCTGGCGTGCCCAAGGCACGCAACTCTGCACAGCGAATACTGGCGCCTTAGACGACTGGGCCACCCGTGCCCCCTGTTTGTTTAAGAGTCTGTCTGACCTATCATAATGTTATGAAATGTCGTCAGATGTCCGCATATTGACAAAATGAAAAGAAAGTAACAATTTGGACACGTTTCTGCCAAATCCAACTGTCTTAAATTGGACAACAGAGCCCAAGCCACAGAGGTCTACTAGCACAGATATGGAAACTCATCCTTCTTGAGTCCTTGCTTTATTGTTTCATAATTTGTTATTCCAAACTTGCCAAAACCTGTAAAATGCCTCATTAATGTCTTTGTTCATCTTCCTGAGGCAAGAGAGTTAACTGACTACAAAAGTCCAGTTTCCACCCTTGCCGAACTAGTCTGGTATTATGGAGTTACAGTTTGGCTGGACTAAAGAGTCTATGCACAGTCCTATCAAAATCGCGCACTGAAATCGAAATCTGGTTCGTAAACCGTGGTGCAGATTTCGGTCGATTGCAGGATTTGCAAAGCATGTGCACCACCAACTAGTTGTCAGCAGATATTTTCCAAATCTTTTCATGTTTTTAATCAATGTGCTCGCGTGATTTGATGCTTTTCGCGATGTAAGACCCATTTTATCACAATATAGATCTTGATTATCAATCAGATCGTCCTGACTGGGCGCCACCATTTTGTGTGAAGCAAATGCAAGTGATACGAGAGGTGGAATCTGATTGGTCCATAGGAGAGGCATAGAAGGGACATAGCTGGTAATAGCCACTGGTGGCGCTACGATCGAGCCAAGTAGTTCCAGCCTAGTTCGGCTAGGGTGGAAACTGGACTTTTAAAGTCAGTTAACTCTCTTGCCTTGGGAAGATGGTCTTTGTTAAACTACTACATGTATTTTGATAATGATAACAATTATCCCAGTGAACACCGAAAGTAGTATATTTACATATTTATTGGTCTTACAGACAAATATACCCATTAGGATGGTACACTTTAGTCTTGTTGTAGTTAATTTATAATGGATCGTAATGGCGCTTACTAACCTATTAATATGTCATACGCATATTGTTTCTTGTTCTTTGTTCAACATTTATGACACATCAATTAGGATTGATGGATGATGATTTTCTTTACCTGAGTTTTGCTGTATAGCTATTTTGTGGTGTGAACAGTGATATGTGTCGATGATGTGGTTTACATCACTTCTAGTTTTCGATCATGCATACTCAGTATGCATATGACCTAGGCTGGGTCAAGGGACTTTGTCTCAATTTGGAAAGTGAGGTAGGGGTAATTCCATTTTAAAAACATTCCAGAAGCTATCTTCAGGGATGAGAATGGATATTTTCCTTAACAGCTGAAACATCTTTGCAATGGAGCATGGTCCATAATTTGGGGGTGTTTATGGGGGAAGCCATCAGATTTTTTAAAAATTGTGGTCTCTAAAATTTCCGATCAGCGGAAGATCCTCATCACTGTATCATACAAAACGAGGGCAAAACGAGTCATGTATTCGATCAAGCGATGAAATATCGTTCTTAGATTTGCATAAGTAAACAGTTGACAGTGGGCGTGGATTGCTAGATTTTCCGATACCACGAGCCAACGATAACATAGAGTCATAATATATGTTATGGCTACTGAATTTTGTCTTTGATGGTTAGCCCTTAGTCATTTATGATGTGGGAATAAGGTACAAAACTGTAACAACGAACAGAAGCGGTAAATCTGTGTAAATGTCTCTTAAGATTGTTACAACTTGTCATGGTATAATTATTTAGGGTCATAACGTTTCTTTTTGCGACTGAAATAATTTTGATGAACAAGATCTAATTTTGGATGTGCGTGGTGTTTCATATCCGTTTTTGTATATTTCTTCTAAACTTACAGGTGTGATTAGAATATCACAGAGATCACAAGATTGAATCTTCCTTATTATACCTTCTTCACTTCAAATCTTTTTTTACTTCCTTTATCTCCTGGAGCTGCGGGTGCTCCGTTGTCCATTTCTTCTTCAATATCCATTGCTGCGGCCATAATTTTCCGAAACCTTACAGCGCCCCCTATTCAACTTCCGCTTGGTATGGTTAAAAACAGAGACTGTATGGCGAAACGAAAGACTAAATAAGTACTGTTTTCATTCAGTATATGTTATATATAGATGGATATAAATATGCAATATAATATTAAATCATTGTCTAAATATAGGCACGTAAGGAATAAAAACTACCACAAGAGAGTTGTTATCTCTGAACCTTATGCATTTCTACACTTAAAAGTATATTCGAATAACGCTTTTAACAAAGGAGTGCACTTGCATTGGGAAATAAATTTGAAACTTTCGACTAGCACTGTCCGTGTACAATGCAAGTATTGGAGGAGTGATAAAACTCACAAACTGTCTATACGAGATTTTGATAGGTCTTTGAAAGGCATTTAGAAGTGATACACATAAGAAAGGGAATATATGGATGTCAACTTCTTTATTATGAGGAACACAACGTTGTTTGTTGCTAATCACCTATCAGCGCCAATCATCTGTTGGCTTCCTTTGTTAGCTTCTACCCTTAGTTATTTTCCACCTTTTGTTATCTTTTTAATTTTGTTGTCCTTACATGCACATAAATATGCTCTCTGCCTCATGGCATTCATTCACCTGATGAAGGAGTAAACATATACTCTGAAACGTTGTATTCATCATAATAAAGAAGTTGACATCCATATATATTCTCTTCCTTGAGATTTTGATAGGTAAGATAAAATTCATTTAATCCAGGCTTTTACTAGTAATGATATCTGGTATTGTGAGAAATCAGAGACCATATACAGGTATGTGATCTCTTGGAGACATGAAGTCAGGTTATGTCAGTTCTTATGGAAATGTCAGGATTTTGTTGAGAAATGTTAATAATCAGTTATTGTCTCGTGAATTCAACATCTACTTGGGTCCTTCAATGACTTTTCAGTCAGTGTATGTACAGATATCATTTACACATATTTAAGATCTCTTCGTAAAGTACCACGAAGTCATCAATTGCTGTCTTCACGTTCTTTCAACTTTTAAATGCCTGTCAAAGGCTTGCTGTGATTGCTTTGTTCAATTCGTTGTATAGCTATCAGATTAAAATGCTACCGCCCCTGTGGCCTAGTGCTAGAGCGTCCGTCCGGAGAGCGGAAGGTCCGATCCCCCTGGCCGCGCCATACTAAAAGACATTAACCCTCATGGTGCCTGGACGTCAGTCAGCCTGCATACCGCTCAGTGCCGCACTGTGATGACGTCGCGGTTTAAAAAAACGTATACATTGTATCAAAAGTGTTACAATGTTCTTATTTCTTCACACAGCGTAGCCAAATTGTATAACATGCAACTCGAGTTGATTGTCTTTCCATCAGTATCTAAAGTCAACAAATCCAAAAGATCTATATGCACTGCCTAGCCATCGATAAAAGTGCTGGTGGTAATATAAGTTTCCTACTTTGCTACATTAATCGTAATATTGAAGCACCCGAATATGGCAAGCAAAGTCAAGAAAGCGCCCTTGTTTGAAATCTAAATGTCCAATAATTCATTTCATTGGCAAGTACTTATCCTAACAGTGATAGACGTATGACATTTATGTTGAAGTACACATTCACTGAGAATTTTCCGTGAGTTATATTTACCGATAAAAAATCGCGATGAAATTGTGCGGTTTTTTTACGTCAAAAAAAATTGACGGAGGTGGTCGTGTTTAATTGATACGCAGACTGTTTCAAATATTAAGTCACAATACGAATGACAGTTTGGAATGTATAACTTGAAGAAATCCCGGTTACGTCCATGTATGTTTCAGTGACCGTGCTCTTTTATAAGTGATAAAAACAACTTCGGGGTAATTGACATCGTACATTTTCAAAGGACAAAATGTGAAAGATCGCTAAACAGCCCTAACAATACTCAAAATGACATCGCTCAATATCGGGCATCATTATTATGTTAGTCGTATAAAATTTCTAATCAGCTCATTCAAACAACACTTATCCGATTCCTTTTTGGTCCTAACTAATTGCACTATATATTACATAAGCACGGCTAATTACATACAGACGGGGCACTAATTACAACACCCTTAAACGTAACTGTAAATGTGCACTCGACCATGGAACTAATCTCTCAGTCACCACAGCAACACTATTACTTGCGCAAAAGAATTTCGTTTCGCGTTCTAATTCTAGTTTTATATTCAACTACGGGAAGGACTCATCCAAAATGTCGTCGTCGGGAGGCAAGCACCCGCAAGGAACGAATTCCGAGATGAAAGCACCAGAGGATATGCATTCACACTCTAACGGTGCTTGTGCCGATGAAAAGTGCAATGGGCACAAAAATCCCCCCATATTTGAAGCAATCAAAGCAGGGTATGTGTTTATTTTGTGGAGATACCGTTGCTTGTCGTAACGGGCGATCACTCGACCATGACTTGAATATTACATGTGATACACACGCCTTGTGATGATAATTGATGTTGTTTTGTTTACTTGTTCCGTTACCAAAGACACGCTTGAAACCTCGCTTGTGGTTTTCTGTTTTTAGGGATTTGTCAATCGTATAATTCAAAGAAGCATTTCGACGAGCAACACTTGTTTGTTTACATGGTTACCAGTCATGCGTTCCTATAACTTGAACAGTCTTGTCTGTTGGTGTATGTCGGTATGGCATGAATAGTTGTCAGATAATATGGTCATCTGGAAGTTATATAGAACTTTGATATATTTTTAAGAGGCTTTTTGAACGATAACCATTTATGGTTATGTGATAGGTCGAAAATTCAACTGAAACAAATTAAGACTCCCATCTCAAAATCAATTTGATGTATGTATGGTTGTTTCCCAAAACTTGACCTGTGCACTGGACAATTTAGCTTGGTGTTTTAAGCTGTAGAAGTTTTGGGAGCATACTGTATAGCCTGTCTTCTCTTGTAAAACTGCATATATCAGAGCTCCAGATAAGCTGCGTATCCCGTCAACCTTGCAAACTCCACGATGACAGTTATACTCGGACCCCATGGTACCGCGGCATTCATCGTATCGCGGCATTTGTGATTTCCGATAGTTCACGCGGGACACGCCTCTTAGCGGCTGTCTATTGATGCAAATCGGTAACCAGGAAGTGCTCACTTCGTAAACAATTTCAATTTCCTCGGAATGTTCGGACTGCTGTAAGTAAGGAGTTATTAATCCGTTGATACATATTTCTGGCATCTGTTGTAATATTGCCTTACCCCCATCTATCAATGGCCAACGATATAACCTGCAGTTCCCCAAGTAAACTTTCTCTATCGACCTGAACTAGATCATCTGCATATTCATGGCGACTAATGAGGTAACGGAAGTTACGTAGTCCGCACATTTCTTTCCCGCTCTGTGCCCAGAATCTATTGGGAGATCATAAGGGCCATAATGCCAAACTTAGAAATACGTTCTTCACTAGTAACCAAAATATAAATACATACTTTGGGCATACTAGGAGTGCTTTTTATATATTTATTGTTGACTTTTAACATTTTTCCATTTTGTGACAAACTATTGTCATCCAATCTTTTTTAAACAATCTTAGAATATCATTTTTGATATTTTGTTGTTAACCTATAAAAATATTTTTCTCTTACTTTTCGGTAAATATGCATTGAATACCTATTGCTGATAACACATTTTAGAATTTTACTTGTGCTGTCTTTGCACTTGTCTGGACAAATCACTGATGTCTGGCATGATCATACCAAGTGGTTGGTAGAATTATGTCCTCTTTTTGTCCAATTCGGACCTCCATACACAACTTTTCTCTGTACCGCGATACGATGGAGTTCTCTCCCTTGTCAAACAGAGCGCGAGGCCCGGCTTTTACTCGAAGCTACTAATGTAAATAATGAACTTTTATCAGTAAAATATGCATTGTTTGATAACATGAATAATATCTGATACAGAGAACACGAATAAACATAAAGGTTAGTGGGTGCATTTTGTTCCGTTTAGCGTACATGACAAGTACCGTGATACCCCGAGGTTGCAGGCTACATCATGATCATTTGCCATCACACTTTCTTGTGGAAGTATCGTGGTATTTTTGAGTACTATAAAGCTCTCGAACCCACACGACACCAGTTTGCAGGGACTAGATGAATAGTGTTATTAAATATTTAACTTAAATACCCACATGTGTAAAAACTAGTGGGTAACAGAAATTTGAATACCCAGAAAGAATTACTGATACCCAATGATTCTAAAATGCATGGGTAAAATACCCACAACACCAAAAGCTTATCTGGAGCTCTGATATATATAATGAAATACAGCGTTAGAACTAAACTGAAAAGCTTTACCAGGCCGGGGAAAGATAAAATTCCCTTTTAATGTTAAAAAAAGGACATTTGTACTAGCCCTGGGCTAGCATACTAGTGTTAGTTTCTAACCCTGTATTTTTTCAAACATTTCTTCTAAGAAATACACTGTGTAGGATAACACTGATTAATCACTCAAGGTATTATCGGTTAATCACTGTCTTTTGTCATTCATCTGATCATTCCTCTCTTGCTGCACTGTCACATGCATATTACATAACCTGTAATCCACTCACCACATCAGACCTAGATTTATTACGCAATCGTTGACTGAATAATTAGCCCAGATACAAGAAATGCCAAATGGGAACCACCGATTGCAATATATCCCATACACCATCATCCGAATAAACACACACATCAGGGTCAGGATAAACGGTCATGACATGACAAAAATCTCCAAAACATCATTTAATAACCTGCCATGTGTGGAAACAATCAGGAACTCATTCCTGGCGCAACTCTTTGCTTATTAATGTGAGGTCATAAAAAGGGATCAGAAATCATTATGAAACAAATGTGTTTCTATGATACATCAATGTTGCAAAACACAGAGTGTTGGTAAAAAGGCTTTATGAGAATTGTGTTCAATGCAGGGTGTGAGGGCCCAGGTGCCACAATTCGCTGTGCAGAGTTGTTTCCCTTAGAGTGCCTTGATTATGTTTTTAGGTTTGTCAGCACCATACCCGTGCTCGTAGGTGTCACCAAAGTGGTAAGCGTCTGAGACCTGCATCACTTTTGGCTTTCCCACATTATGCTGATATACCTGGAATACTGTTCAAAGCGGCTTACTCAATGCAGGATGTGACATATTGGGTATGCTCGTGAGTAGTATAGGTAATGGGGGTTCTGCCGCAACTCCACTGGCTCCAGTGGAGTTGCGGCAGAACCCCCATTACCTATACTACTCTTGTGGTAGGAACTGAGATCGGCATTGAGGATTTTGTCCTGTTTATGTTGATTCTTGAGACTGTATGAGGATGTGTGGATAAGGGTACCTAAGTACCATGCATGTATATGTCTTGATCATGTTTAAGACATTTTGAAATTTCACAAAAATGTTGTTGATTTGATCATGTATAAAGCATCTTCCCAAGGCAAGTGAGTCTTAACTGACTATAAAAGTCCAGTTTCCACCCTTGCTGAACTAGGCTGGTATTATGGACTTACATTTTACAGTTACAGAACTAACAAATCCATGCATAGTCCAATCACAATCACGCAACAAAATCAAAATCCGGTTCCGGTTTAAAGTCAGTTAACTCTCTTGCTTTGTGAAGATGTGTATAAAGTGTTTTTTTGGGGTTTTTTTCAAATTGTTTATTTTCTTTTAATGTTTCAAAATTCTCTTGCTTTCCAGGATGCTTATCCCAATCCAGACGTTGTTTGAACAAGGAGGTGTGGAGGTTTTCACCTCGAGAGATGATAAAGGCCACACACCAGCCCACTGGGCCTGTCTCGGAGGTCACACAACGATCTTACGTTTCATGCTGGAACACAAGGCACCTGTCAATGAACCCAGCAACAATGATTTGGGAGCCCGCCCGATCCACTGGGCCTGTGTGAATGGCCACATTGCAGTGATTGACATACTGGTCCAGTCTGGGGTTCTCCTGGACATTGTGGATAACAAGGGCTGCACACCTCTCATTGTGGCAGCTCAGTATGGACAGACCATGTTGTCTGGCTATCTCATGGGGAAGGGAGCTCGGCTGCAGCTTGTTGATAAGGATGGGGACAGTGCACTACATTGGGCAGCATTTAAAGGTACAGTTCCATTTACGTGGTTCAAAATTCCTTGTATTTTAGTATTTTAGTGCTAGTGGCACAGTTAAGATTGTAATGGCATGGTTAAAATGGATTCACAGTGCCCAAAGGTCACACTTAGAAATCATATAGTGTTAACAGCAGTACCTTGCAACTATGTTTATCATATGAAACCACAAATAAACGTGAAAAATAGATTCGCAGTGCCCAAAGGGCACACTTAGAAATCATATGGTGTTAACTGCAGTGCCTTGCAACTATGTTTATCATTGAAACCACAAATAAACATGACAAACACATGGAAAATGATCTGAGTTTATGCTTAATGTACAGTATGATTGACCAAATATATTTAGGTATTCAGAAGGGATGTCAAGAGTCACCAATACATCTTTCCAGTTAGCACACTTTAATTCCAAAAGGTACAACGAAACATCTTTGTGAGTGCCTTATGGCAAGCAATACATTTATGGATGAAGGCCCTTCATGCCACAATGCATTGAGAATGTTATATTTCACCTGTGTAAAATATTTAGATGATTACATTTGATGAAACTATTCCCTTACATGAACATGATGAAGTTGGAAGCACCCCACCCCTTCCGACTCTGCCTTACCTAACACATGGACAGAGTTTGTCATCGTTTCAGGATTATATTCTACCCCAGAATACTAACAGAACAGCAGGGTTCAATATTAAGCTTGAAAGTCAAGGGGTCCGTGTCATGACCCCTAGTGGTAAATATTAATAAATAATTCCCCAGATTGAAAAACTACAGATGCAACGGACAGGGACCCCCTTAATCTTGAAACTGACGAACATACAAGGATGTAATTACTTGTGATAAAGATTGATGATTCTGTTGACAGGTCACTCGGAGTTGATGCGACTGTTGATCTACTCTGGGTTCAACCCCAGACAGAGGGACAACTACGGCCAGACTCCCCTCCATCTAGCTTGCATCAATGGCAACCTGACAGCTGTGAAGGAGCTCTGTGAACAGGTGAATGTCCGCCTTCAATATTTCAAGTTCTGCTGTCACCAGTGAATGAGGGATGGAATTTAACCAAGAATGTCTGCTAGCTCCAACTGTGATAACATAGAGCAATAGCCCCCAAAATGTTTGAAATTGTACTAGCCCTTAGCAAGCTTTGGATTCCTTTAACATTAACAAAACTGGTCCAGGCTAGTGATAAGTTCCATCCCAGGTGAATACATGCAACTATTAATATGTAGTGTATTGGTGATGTGTCTAATGTTGGGAATCTTATGAAGTGAGGCCGTAGTTAGATCATGAAAGTCAAATGAGCTCTATTCTGTGCATGAACATTTGGCAAACCTGGACTTTGTATGCTATTAAAGCAATGTGTAGTGTTGAACGTTGCGAGGCTAATGGCCAATATTGTATACATTATCACACAAGATATATTCTGTAATCTGCTCTTTTTGCTGATGTGTTTGTTCCCTGAAGCTAATCTGCTAAATCAAGGTTTTAGGAACCACACAATATCACCACGGAACCAAATTACACATGAATGCTGTGAGCATAATATGTTCACTATGCAATGCAAGTGAACCCGTGTAGATTCGGGGGTAGAATAGGTCTACAGCAACCCATACTTGCCGTAAGAGGCGACTTTGCTTGTCGTAAAAGGCAACTAACGGGATCGGGTGGTCGGGCTCACTGACTTGGTTGATACATGTCATCGATCCCAATTGCTTGGATCGATGCTCATGATGTCAATCACTGGATTGTCTGGTCCAGACTCGATTGTTTACAGACCACCTTCATATAGCTGGAATATTGCTGAGTGCGGCGTTAAACAACAAACCAACAACAAAACAACCAACAATGCCATGCAAGTGAAATAGAAATTCATCGATCCTTTCATCCCTACAGGATAGTGTTGAGATCGACCTGGCTGACAAGAACAGCAAAACTCCTCTCATGCTGGCCGTTGGTCGCAAACACGAGAACATCATCAGTTACCTGAAGAAAGAAGCCAAGTTCAAGGCCAGTGTCTTCCCGCGCATTGACTGCTGGTATGTACTGGAAGACCCCACAGATTCCGGGTTAGAACAACGAGTTTACAATGTTTGAAGCCCATTTCTGGTGTCCCTGTCTTCATAATACTGGAATATTGCTAGAAGTAGAGTGTAACCATTCTCACTTCAAAGCCCCTTCCTTTTGCATGCTGCCTCCATATTGCTGACTACAGCACTGAAGCACATTTGCTCACACAACAAACTACTGTTAAACTATTTCAGATGTTATGTTCAATTATCATGATTATCATAGCTTAAATATTGCGACCAACTTGAATGGATGATACTGTTCCCATATGTTCCAACTGACATCTTGTTTCAGGGCTATCATGTTCGGGCCCCCAGGGAACAGTAAAGGGGCTCTGCTCTTCTTCCTCATCAGTGTTGTGTGCTGGGGCTACCCTATGTATTTAATCAAGGTAAGAATGCCATCTTGTGCTGTGGCAATAGTCTCTCCACACCTTCAGTCCTGGGATTAAGTGAATGTAATAGCTGGACAAAGACATGTAATGCTACCAATGCTGTGTTATATTTTACTTTGGGGCAGTCGGGAAGCCAAGTGGTTAATGCGTTCGCTCGTCAGGCTGAAGACCCGGGTTCGAATCGCGACATGGGTACAATGTGTGAAGCCCATTTCTGGCGCCCCCGCCGTGATATTGCTTGAATATTGTTAAAAGCGGTGTAAAAAACATACTCACTCTCTCACTCATTATAATTTGCCTCAGAATGTTTTTGTTTTAAACAGCTCAATATTTTTCTTTTAAAAATACTGATTGTTTTAATATGTTGAAGGCTCCATTTCACACTCCAAAGTACCTTTACCTCTTAGGTCATATGATCATTTTTGAGTCAGTGAGTAGCCTTATGGTAAACTCTGAATTTAGCCACTAATCCAAGACGAGTGTCAAGTAAGACTGTTTGATTTAGTAAACTCAGCTAATAATAGTCCTGTTAATAGCACAAAAATTTACAGAAAGTTCCTAGATACCTAGATTCTTACAGTGAAGCTGCAAGCCGCAAGGACTTCAGGATGCCCATAGTTATGTCTTTGTCTCAAACAAGGGTAGAGTTTATTTCCGGGTCATAACTTGAAAAACGTTCAAAATATTACAATGAAACTTGGTTTGTGCATTGCTCATCAGCATAACTGGTGCATTTCGCTATTTTGAATATTTTCTCAATTTTATTTTGTTTTGTTTCTATGGAAACAATTTGGACTTCATCTCAAACAACTCTAGGCTTCGTTTCCAAGTATTTGTTTCCTGCTAAAACTCTACAGCTGATGAATATTTCTGCAAAAAGTTGTTATCTTTCCAGGCTGTATTGTGTTATTGGTTTTCATTTACAAACATTTTTAGGAACACTTCCTGTTTTCAGTGTCTGCCATTGACGTTCTATGAACTGCAGCCTTTCCACCTGTTGTTCATCACTGTGAACATCTTGATGTGGATCTGCCTTTACCACTGCAACACTATAGACCCAGGCTTCCTGCCCAGAAACATACCCGAGTATGACCAGGCCATCAAACAGGTGAGCTGCTACACTGGAGCCGCTGCCAACTGAACAGGTTCATTCTCTAACCCACATGGACTTCGTACCCCATGCTTATTGTGAAAGGCTGTCAAATTTCAGTTGATAGGCCACAATGAATTATTAGATTTTCATTCACTCACCTCCCATTATTTCCTTGTCCAGAAGTACCTGCAGATGTATACATTATAAGTTGTCAACCGATCTCGAGGGGCATATGGTGTGATGTACCCTGTGTGGGAGCCTATGATGGCTCAGGGTAAATAGGCTCACACACAGGGTACATCACACCATATTCGCTTGGGATCAGTTGTCAGCGAATTTATCCCACTGACATTCATTCCCACAGACCCAAAATTGATGTCCGAAGTTTCACCGAGTAAAGCGCTTTGAATTAGCCATTTTGACAGCTAGCAGACGACACAAATGAAGAGTTACTTCCCTTGTCCAATGCATTCAGATAAACATCGGTTCATTTCATTCAATGATACTAATGCGAGATAAGCAAGTTACCTAAGGTGTGTTCCCATTGATCTCAGTGGAATATATGAGCGGGCTTCATGGAAAATAATTGCCCACTCCTTAACCAATCAGGAGGTAGTATTTTAATGTAAGGGTAGAAAAAGGTGTGTGTTCCCTTCTTTCTTTACTTTATGAAGTACACAACATACATTGTCAACCCATTCATTTGTGATTCCTGGGAATCATGCCAACAATATAAAATTAAAATGACATCCAAGTCACAATTGTGGACATTTTGCATGAAAATTGTAATAATCGGTTTTACTGTGGCCTTATATCATGTTTATTGTCTTACTACCTGGGGAGACCAACATACAGGGTCCTGGCAAACAGTGTGTATCATCATATACCATAGGCATTCAGTAAACTATGGTTATAACGAACTCAAAGGGACCACTTATATTTCTTTGTTACAACAGTAGTTCCTTATAAGCATATATACCAGGGGTCCGGAAAATTTAAAATCCCAATCGGACATTTGCATTAGGCCACGCCCCCTTCAAATAGCGTATTTTAGTACGACTTTTCACACACATTACAAGTTTACGTATTCATAATATGATGAATTATGAATTGTTTCAATTTAAATTGTTTAATTCACCGAACAATTAATAACAAATAATATCATTTTAGATTTACATGGAAAACATACGTTTGTTTCTGTTATGATAACGATCTGTTAACGTAGTGAACGGTCTAATTAATATTCATGAGTCTCCTCAAGTGTACGCGTTGTAACATTTGGATCGAGACTATTATCCCATATTTGGTTATCACGTGACCTCACGGGAGATGTTGTTTTTAAACTTAAGATTTTTTTAAAAACAAGACAGATAACTTAATCACAAATACTAAAATATCGTTGATAGCAATAGTTATTTGAATACTTTTTTCATCTGTACTTATTTATTGACCATAAAAAAATTGGATATCGATCGTCCGAGAAAGCAAAATGGCGGTCAATCAAGATTCAATATACGACTAGCTGCTGAAAACAATAAAATCTGCAAATCCTCATTGTATGTCAACCAAGTGAAAGTCGTTAGCCACGACTTACAAAATGATCGTCCAGACTTTGAGGGTTTGGCAGATCCGCTCGACTGATCTGCATCGGTCGACTGGCTGTCGTCACGCTTTCGCTTCTTGTCTGAGGTTACGTATCGTAGCATTGTGAGGATAATGAGGTACATCGATGATGCAAGGTATTAATGTACAGTTGTAAACATCTTTCACTCAAATTAACAAGATGTTCTCAGTAATTAATCCTCGATTAATCAGTGTCAACTCAGTTTATTGCCTATTACAGTGATTGACCGATTGGACTATCATGTAGGTACGATGTATTTACAGCAATCAAAACAAACAAAGCTAGTCAGTGTAGTTAATCTTCATTGTGTTGCAACTGCAGACAGAAACTGCTCAGTCCTAACTGTTGATCATGTCCGGTCAAAATTTAAGAATGTCCGGACAATACTTTTTAAAATGTCCGGTAAGCAATATTTTAAAACGGACATTTGAGATCCCCAATCGGACAAGTCCGGCGCATATGACGGATTCCGGACCCCTGATATATACAGCTTATTATGTCCGTCAGTTTGTTATTAGGATGTTGATAATGAGCATAGTTTACTGTAGTTCGATAATGTTGTTGACATCTAGGAAACTACGTGGGGAGATCAGCTCCCAGATCCTTCACCCCAATCATACGCTAATGTCTAGGTTGATGATTGCTCGAGGTTGATGATTGGCATGCCTGCTCTATGACATATAGGTGTTGAAGGTTACCAAACTTGTATCACAGTCCCCAGAAGACATCCCCAGCATGCTAAGATCTGACTAACGTAGGACATAGATTGCTGCAATATATCACTTGGGTGATAGTATGTCATTTTACCTCATTTATCAATAGCTTAGACCTTTCTATCGTGCAATAGTATGTCTCAAGCTTGGAATATTCCCATGCCTTCTTAATACAGGTCAGTGTAGCTGGCTGACTTGAAACAAGATTCTCTGAGTTATTCTCTGGTATAGCTGTAATCCTGCTGTGACTGGCATAAAACAATATTTGCTTCTTCACGTGGCTTACAACATCTCTTGGGACGGTCGGGTAGACTAGTGGTTAAAGCGTTCGCTCGTCACGCCGAAGACCCGGGTTCGATTCCTGACGGGTACAATGTGTGAGGCCCATTTCTGGTGTCCCCCGCTGTGATATTGCTGAAATATTGCTGAAAGCGGCATAAAACCATACTCACCACAACATCTCTCAGAGAGTAGTAACACAAATATAGCACATTTTGTAACTTCTCCTGCATTACTCCTTAATGCATTTACTGCAACAATACGTCTCATACTTATCATGACAAAAAGTCACCATCAAGCATTAAACATTAATGGAATGGTAAAAATCATATGTAATATATGAAGACACACACCAGGGGAAGGATATGAATCACATAAAACAAAAGTGTTATAATAACATGCAAAGGATTGCAATGGATAAAGCTGAGAGCTCAAAACAGGTGACTGTTCTCTCTGAGTGACAGCAGTAATGTGATGACACGTGACATCATCACTTCTGTGGTCACGTGGGAGCTGTGTGATAGGATTAGCCACACAACCAGTTGGAACAACGTCTTCTTCAGCAAGACCTCACACAACTCTTTTTTCTGTCAAGAACAAGCAGTAAATGTATTAAGGAGTAATGCAGGATAAGTATGCTAACAAAAATATGTAGGATTTTACTAGTTTTGAAAGTTTCAGCCAATTTATTTCTTGTATCCCTTGCCCCATAGGTCGCCCATTTTGATGAATGGAAGCAGGGCAAGAACCCGCTGAGCAGGCTGTGTCACACGTGTCGTACCGTGAAGCCTGTCCGAGCCAAACATTGCCGCGTGTGTAACCGATGCGTGAAGGAGTTCGACCATCACTGTCCCTACATCTACAACTGTGTGGGCTACAATAACAGGTGAGATACAACAGCGTATTACCCAGAAAACCAGTACCACATAACACCATCATTACAGACCTCTACAGCCAAGCGGCTCCTAACATGAATATTTTAGTAGCCGAACCTAAGTTTTTAGGACCCAACATATCTTTTAACAGATATTGTCGCCAGTTATATATTTTCTTTTAGGAAGCCAAGTGGCAAGCAGTATATAAATTTAGGTCGCCAGTCAGATTTAAGTTTTCATTTAAGTCAGCATTACATCACTGCTACAGGCAAAAAAATCATTATTTGAATCACCCGATATATCAAGCTTTAACAAGTGATATTGTTGATACCTCAATTTTACTGATATACCGGTAATGCTGCACACCCTTTCCCTGAGGGAACAATTGGGGTGCCAGATTCCTTAGTTCTCAAATGCCACTGCTAAAGAATATTTATGACAAAATCCTTGGAAAACTGATACTTTAGAATGTTTAGTCCAAATGGTGTTGGTTTTGTCTTGTTAGTTTTTGACATAGTCAATATTCATATTGGATTGTTGGATATATCTGAAATTGAGTCTTTAGGAAATAGTTTTAGCACAGAGTGAAATGAAGACAAGTTTCTGTTTGAACATGATTGTGAATATTGACTATGATCTTAAAATAAATGCATGTTGAATACGGAATGATATTGAATGACAAATTTGCATGAAACCTGTATATGCCAGTGTTTAAATTGTGGTGGTATAGTTCACATGCATGGTTCTGAATTAATGTGAATTATTGATATGTATTTGCATGTAATTTAATGTTGCTGGGTGAATTGTTACCATGGTTACATTGTTCTGTTTTACGTTTTTTCTTTTTTGGCTCCTTTCTAATTTTCCAACACCTCTTAAACATTATCATAAAGTCTTCTATCACAACATGCAAATAATAAAATTTCAATTTAGCCATTACCACACCCAGCAAGATGAAATTTTACTGATTTAAAGATATATATTCAGCTACATGCATTTTGCACAAGCCTATATGAGATCATCGTATATGATAATGATGATGATTCCTTCCCTGTTCTGCTGCCCTCCATGACTGCTACTTGTACTTAGACTTGTCTTGTACACTGTAGCCCAGGTCCCAGCTTTGCTCGCTCAGCATTTCCTGCTTCATATTCACTTCTGCTATTCCTTCTTGCACAGGGGCATGGTTTGCCCAGTGGTCTGAGTTGCAACAACTCTCAGTGCAGAGTTGTGTCCCTTATCTGCTGCAGTTATGTCCCTTATCTGCTGCAGAGTTGTGTCCCTTGTCTGCTGCAGAGTTGTGTCCCTTATCTACTGCAGAATTGTATCCCTTATCTGCTGTAGAGTTATGTCCCTTGTCTGCTGCAGAGTCGTGTGCCTTATCTGCCACAGGGTTATGCCCCTTATCTGCTGCAGAGTTCTGTCCCTTATCTGCTGCAGAGTTCTGTCCTTTATCTGCTGCAGAGTTGTGTCCTTATCTGCTGCAGAGTTGTGTCCCTTGTCTGCTGCAGAGTTGTGTCCCTTATCTGATGCAGAGTTCTGTCCCTTATCTGTCACAGAGTTGTGTCCCTTATCTGCTGCAGAGTTCTGTCCCTTATCTGTCACAGAGTTGTGTCCCTTAGCTGCTAGTTTTTGGTTCCTATCTCAGATTCACCCGGATTATGATCCTTGGTCTGTCAGCACCGTGCCAGTACTCATGGGTTACAGTAGCGTGGTAAACATCGACTACCTGGATTGGTTGGAAACTATCCTCCTACATCAAGTTTACACTCTATCACATAACTGAAATACAAATAAAGCTACATAAAACAATGTATCCACTCACACTCCCTCTTGCCCTGCTTGTATGGATCTCACAGCAGTGTAGACAAACAGTAGCAGCGGGACACAACCCAGGCTATCCTAGATACACTTGCAACTTCCCACTCAAGCCTTGCCAACTAGTCACATTATGCCTTATCTGGTCATGGACAAGATTTACTTATATAGGTGAGGTGAAATTGGGTTTAAAGTCACGTCCATACTTATATAGGTGTGCCATATCACCTGGCTGTTATGTCCACTAGTCTTGGCTAGAAACTATAGTGGCAGGAAGAAACCAATCCATATCTAAGAGATTTTGAGAAGGAGTTTCTTGTTTCTTGATTTACAGATTTTTGTTTTGCAAAATTGTGGTTGGTTGGTGAGAAAAAAGTGTTTTGTTCAGAAAGTACTTTAGCATGTTGTGTGCAAAATTGATTTTGGGGTGATACGTAAAAAAGAAAATATCACATTTGTTTTTGTTCTTACAATTTTTATGATTAGCAGACCCGTACACCAATTAGGAAAAGAAGTCGACATGTTTGTATAGTATATAAAAGAGGGAAATATGTTCTGAATAATACTTGCACAAGAGTTCGGGCAAAACAATGTTTGTTATGATAAATGTTTACTACTAACGGTACCATGAGAATCCTCCCGTTGAGAAGTTTGAAAGTGAGAGAAAGGTTAGTCTTTCATGCAGTTATAACAAACTCAAAGGGACCACTAATTTTAGTTTGTATAACTGTACTTCGTTATAAGCGTTTCGTCTGTCAGATATCTCGGATCAAGTCACATGACCACATCATGTGGTGGTATAAATAAATAACAAAAGTATGCTCTGTATATGTACTATAAATGACATAAAATACATAACGTAAGAAAATACATGTTATAAATATATTATTGATACAGTTTCATTGGACGCTTTGAACATTGCCTGCGAGGTGTGTCTGCTATCATAATTTTATCAATACTGAATTTCCTCACTTACTTTTTTACTTACTGTTGGAGATTTAACGTGGGCTTTCGTGTCTCTATATTTCCTCACTCGCATCTTACAGACAGAGTATATCCACTTTAAGGGCTATAGCCTCATCGTTGTTTTGCTATTGTTAATTGAGGGTGTAAAATGAGGACAAGGTGTCGGTACTTAATCCAGTTAATCACTTGCCTTCAATCGTTTATTGCTGCTTTGAACAGGCGCGCATGGCCATGGATGTTTTGATGGGTTGATTAGTGACATGTGTGCAGCTCAGAGGTTAATTGTTTTTTATCATCATAAACATTGTTGTTGACATAGTACACATGGGAGCACAAAGAGAGTTCACTATATCCGTTATTTCGTTATAGGCGTGTTTGCTATATCCATTAATTTTATATGATCAAATTGTTCGGGACCTAAAAACAGTTTGTTCTATCTTTTAGTTTGTTATAAGCATGCTCATTATAGATTTACTGTATAAATATTTTCTAAAAAATGATTACTTTTTCCAATATTAAAGTATTTCATCAGAGAAAACAGGCTATGAGATTGTCCTGGTGTTTGTGTTTCTGCATGTGGTTTATGTATACTCACCAACAAAAGAAACGCGAATACCATACATGTTGGTTAATTACATTAAGTAATACGTTACCACTGTTATACCGAGGCTGTTGTCTCCCACAACTGCTGCTATAGCGAAATCTACCACAGAGATCTCAATTACCTCATGCAGCACGTGCGTAGCCACCTAGCTGCCATGTGACACCCTTCACTCTTGTCTCCTTCGTCTGCTTAGCAAGACGTGTTTTCTCCTGCTGAAGCGTTCCTGGAAGATTTGGTGATATTTATTATAGTTTATTCTCTAATAAACTGTGCTTTTATGGGGCGTTGCGGTAGCTACGCTTGGTTATAATTTTCCCGCCAAACGGAAAATTTTTCCCGCCCTTTTTTCTCTATACTTGCGGGGTTCGCGTATGCACGTTGTGTTTTACGTTTCCCCTGTTCTTGTATGTTTTGGGGGTTAACATAACTTATTTCTTTAATAAAAGTTATATGTGTATGTTATATGTTCACATTGCTCGTTTATTTTCTTGTGAAAATGCTCGTTTGTGAATCGTTGTGGTGCGTGCGTTGTAACCATGTTTTGTTCTTTGTTTATAGCAAACAATGTCTGACATGGATATGTCCCCAGTATCCACCCCCTCTACCCCTGCTCCTCGGAGTTGTGGGGTGTGCAGAAAGTTTTTGTCATCCCGGGATCCCCACGATCGTTGCCCGCGGTGCAGGGTTCCTTGCGTGGACACCCGGTGTACCCTGTGCGAAGGTGTGGGGCCTGCGGAGTTTGAGCGGTACCGGCTGTACGTACAGTCCGTCTCCACCCCTGTGGTGGCCGGTTCGTCCGGTCGGGGTCCCCGTGCGGGTACCACCTCCTCGGCTGCGGCGGATCCCCTTGCGGCCCTCGGGCTGTCTGGGGCTTCCGTCGCCGCATTATTGTCGAAACTTGTGGACTCCAAGCTGGCGGCCTTATCGCAAGATAGGCCGCTGGCTGTTCCGTCCCCGGCCTCTTCGGTGGCCGCGGGTTCGGACGCGGGGTCCACCGGTACGGCGGCGGCTGCCGTGGTTACCGGTCCTTCCCCCGAACCGTTGCTTCCGCTATCGGTTAAGGACCGCGTTGCCATGGTGTATGACCTCTTCGAGGACATGCCAAAGCCCCTGCCGATACCGCGGGGAATCCACGGTTCCGTGGGTTCCTCCGAGGTATACGACGAGACGTCCGACAAGGCTTTCCCGGCATCAACCTTGCTGCGCGGGATTAAGCCTTCTTTGGAGAAGGCCTTCACGGCTGCCTCCGGTCGGGGTCTCCCGTTACCTCCCCCGTCGTGGAGAAAAGGGTCTTTCCCAGTACATGACCTTGCCTTTCCCGAGGCTGGTCCTTCTGCGGAAGCCCATGTGGAGCGTTTGGGGGTCCGTGCCCCACCGGTTGCCACGGTACCACAAGGTACCTTGCAACAGCTGGACACCCTCGCTCGACACTCCATGCTGGCAATGTCTCACGGAGACACATACCTGGCTGCAGCGGCCAGTCTGGTCATAGGTTCTCCCACGGACCGAGACCAGCGCATTTACAACTGCTTGCTCGGTTTGAATGCTTCCCTGGAGTACGTTGCCGGGGCTTCGGCCTTTGTTTCCGGCACGTGCCATTTTCTTCGGCGCCAGTCGTATCTG